ACACACACACACACACACACACACGCGCGCACGCACACGTGGTGCGTTCCGTGGAGGGCTAAACCTCAGAACCGGATACATCATACACGACATTAAAAACCACGATCTACAGCGAACACAAAAACAATCTGAAACAACTCCAACAAACACACACCGGAGAGAGACCGGGAGGAAAACGGAAGTTGCCTCACACAAGAACAACACGCAACCCAGTACGCTTCGAACCTCAAGCCCCTGCCAAAAGGCAAGATGTTCAAACAGAAAGAGAGAGAGCCAGGCCGAAATAAAGGAGCAATGCGAGAATAAACAGTGGAAATAGGTGTAAACCTGCTATTCTCCCCACCAAAAATATTAAAGCGATCACTTTCGGTTTAGGGGGGGAGGGGTCCCCTCCATGTTTCTTTTCCCAGGGGGTCAGGCCGGATCAAATTTTTTCCGGGTCCTGGTTTCTCAGATGGTTTCCACATGGTCCTCCCTCCCGGGATCATATTCCGCCCTGCTGCGTGGGCTTAACCTACCTTACTGCAGGTGCTTCGGGCGGGTGGAGCTTCCCAGCATGCTGAACGAGCCTGCCTCTTTTACTGTGCACCTAAGCAGTCGAAAACTCTTGGCCGGCCACCCTTGGGCAGAGCTGCGCCGCATTGCCGATGTTCATGAAGCCATGTGAAGCTAAGTGCCGCGCTAGCACATGTTCCCGCGGCCTCTCTTGCCGGTGAAGCTCTCTGCAATGAATTGCGGCTGCTGCAGCTCCACTCCTTGGAGCACAGTGGTGGTGCCCGACCGAATCTTCATCCACTTCTTGTCAGCCGCCGCCGCCAAGTGCACACGCAGCAATCCCTGATGCTCAGTGATCTCGTAGGAGTCTGGAGCGAACTCCAACATGACGTTGTCCGAGTGAGCCACCATCGGCTGCAAAATGCAAGTTTCGAAGACTCCTTGCTGCCTGGTGCCCAACAACACGGGATCTTGCATGCGGCAGGCGACCATATCATGCCAGGGAGATCCAGGAAGCGGGATTTGCAGGCAGCACGTCGGGATCCAGGCAACCACAGAGCGGCAGACACGCAGACATGGACGGAACAAAACGATTTCTTGCTGCCTGGCCCGAGTTGCTCCCGACCACCAGATAGCCAAAAAACAAGTAATGCCGTCCTGCTCGGGCTTGTACGCAGTATGCCAGGGAGGATCCTGCCAGAAGCCGTTCCGAGCTAGTGCCCATCCTCACCGCTCCTCTTTCACTACACACCTCTGAAACGACTGCCCAGGCCTCCTGCCCGTTCTTCGCAGCCCACGCAGCTTCCTGAGACCAGCTCCTCCACTCCATGCCCTCGCAGTGCCACTGGCCCTAGCACATCACAGGCAGCCAAACCTCCCCCCACACAACGAAACAAGCAGGCAATGAACGCTGCCCAGTCGCGGTCCACACGGCATCCCCGATCAAGGTATGCTTACAGAGTAGTGCAGTGCAATGTGTGGGACGGGACCAATGTCTGAGTCCGTCGGTAATAACATCGTCGTCGTTAACAGCAGTACTAGTATATACGTCGTGGTAGCACTGATGTTCGTCGTCGCAAGAGTGGCAGTAGTGTAGTACCAGTAGTGCTGCTGCTCCTAGTACTACACGACAACGACGACAACGACGACAACAACGACAACGCACAAGTAATGGTAGTACTTATCACGTGGGCTAACCCCTGCCACAAGAAAAGCAACCCAAAAAAGGTTAACCCCCAAATACATAAAGAACTTGAAAAAAATCCTGAAAAACAAACCCACCAAACACTTAAAAGAACTTGAGAAGCACGTTCTTTAGGGCACCCTCGCCCCCTCGGGTTCTTTGTAAGGAGCCCCCTATTTAAAGCGTATTGATAGTGAGCGGTTGCCCGCGTTGTAAAAGTTGAACGTGCGAAGGGTTGGTATTGAGCGATTGCGTTGTACTCAAGGGTGTAGTTCTTGTCACGCCGACACCTGGAGGTTATGTTTGCTTTCTACATCCAGAGCTCGACGGGTCTCCTGGATAAACCCCCAGGTCGGGGTGCCCGGATTCATCCCAAAGGCGGGGATCACAGCAGGAAGTCTGTCCGCGGGGGATTGTTGATTCCTATTGAAGTGAAATGTGTAGCAGGGGGTACCCTACCAAGCCCAGGAATACGAAAGCATTGTTGTCGATTTTCACACAAACCTGTGCCACTTGAGCCAACACGTTGGTGACCTTTGAGCCGGAGCATCCACATTCGGAGGCTCGTCAGCTACTTTCAGAATTGAGCTCACGCTATACATGCCAAGCGAATGTGGGCGGCATATGTGGGCCTAGCTCAACCTCACAAACATACAGCAAAGAAACAGACAAGATATTTCATCCTATTGTCGTTCAATCATTCGGCGTCGATACTACTCATCAAGATATTGAGGAAAGTATCGTCCACGCTCCCACATGCGGGATATTGGGTGTATCGTCACACACCCCAGCGGGAAAATTTGCTCCAGCATGTTGTCAATCAGTCGTCAATATTGCGAATAGTATCCTCGTTCCTTCGCTGTTCTCTCCTGTCCTCGCAGGCCCTACAACCAAGATTCAACGTTCTGCGTTCCATGCTGGCCTGACAAGCTGAAAAGTGTGCAAAACATCCCCCTTTTATGGGAAGGGCAACCTTTCCACAACCAAGGAAGCATGTTGCTGAGCAGCATGAACTGGCTTCATAAGCGTAGACAAGACGCAAAACCACAAATACAGCCGCCTCGTCGGATCGGACTGACCACGTCCCTTCGGAAGCCCGACACCACACGCAGTAAAGGGAGCAGTCCTCAGAGCACCAGAAGCGACACAGGCGCTTGCTTATGACAGATGAGATGGTAATGGTAATGCCTTTGAAAGAGTCGCAAGATAATAGCCAGGGAGTCCGTTGTCCAAGCGCGCTCTTTCCTCTGCTTTGCCAAGTGCTGCCCTGGACAGCTGTGGCCAAGATTGCAAGATGGGAAGTGGATGATGTGGAGAGTTCCTTTCAGCGAACTCACACTTGCTGGGCCGGCTCCATGATATGGATGTGCATCGTGGTGTCAGAGCCCCATGAAAATAAACATGAAGATGCCGCGCGGATGCTGCTTTGCACCAGGGCGATGTTGTCGTACGTGGCCGAACTCCTCGAGACAGCCCTGCGCGTTGCGCCAGGCAGGATCCTGGACTGCTTTGGCAAAGGCATCACGGGCATGTGCCAGAAGGAGAAAAGAGCCCAGCCGGGCATGTGCAAGGAGGAAAGGAGCTGCCATAGCTGCGCTGCTGACCCTGTCTTGTTCGTAAAGTTAGCGAAAGGGCTCCTGGCACCATGGCCGCGAACACCAGCTCCACATGGACGTTGGAACACTGTCGCAGACTCTTGCACATGATTGCTGATCGTTGTGTGGATGTCTTGGGCCAAGCTTAGCCTTGGCATGTGCTGCTGTTGGACGCTGGGAACTGCGAGAGACGCCAACAATCCAGAATCCAGACAGAGGCCAGGAACTTCGTAGCTGTGCTGGAAACACGCGACCACTGAGCTCTTCTGCGTGGCCCACGCCACTGTCCAGAGCTGCTGTCATGGACGGTGAGCACAGGGCCGAGGTGTAGTTTTTGGCTCAGCGACCGGTGGCCAAGCCCCATGAGCATCCATGCCATTCCACTGACTTTGCAGACAGATGGGTAGGGCTGTGGATGTAGGGCGGGCAGGTGTGGCTGCTAGGGACGTACTTACTAGGCACGACCATGCCTGGCCTCTCGCCCTGGGAGACGAGGTGTTCTCGGAGTGTACGCCTCCTCGCAGAAGGCCAAAGCCCGACATCAAGCAATCGCCCGCTAAAGATCCAGAACCCAGACGTCGCCGGCTGTCTGAAGAGGCGCCTGCGCGGCAAGACAGATGGTGCCAGCAGGTGATGTTGACGAGGATGCGTGCCTGTCCGAGCTTGGAAAAGCCAGTGGAGCAGAAGAGTACGCTGTTGTCCAGAAAACCAGCCGTTAATCCTAAGTCGAAAGCCAAAAGCACACGCCCCGGTAGTAGACTTCCCAAGGCATGGCTGCTGCCGTGCTGCTTGTCTGTGTCGACTGTTGCGTATGTATGAGGAACAGTGTGGAAGTGATCCTGTATGATCCTGTGCACGTACATGTTCAGATGAGTGTCTCAAGATCTCGCGAAGGAAACGGGGGTTTCCAGGCTCAAAGGTCAAATGTCTACAGATGCGCAGGCCGCATTCAGCCAGCAGGGACACTCATCACATAAGACTCCAAAGAAACCCATACCTGCCCTATTCCGAGCTATCGCTTCCTGTTTCTGACCCGAAAATCGGCGGTGCACAACGTGACTCCGCCGAAGATTTTTACTACGAGGGGGACATACTGTATATTATTTCAAGACCGATCCCAGCCGGACACCCGGGCCGGAGTTCCCCAACATATATTCCCTAAACCCACTTGCGTCCCTCGTTCAGGATGTCTAGTTACCGCATATTTCATACAGTTCTAAGCCCGATTACATTAGTCGGTGGGAGGGTGATGGTGGGAGGAGGGGGAGGGGTTCAGAGCAGGCGGAAAGAGGAAGGGTGGGGGGCAAGAGGGATTGGATTGATGCTAGGGCTGCAAGGGCTGCTTTGTTAGATAGGGAGGCTGGGGTGGGCGCATGCAACAGAACGCTGTCCCCGTGCCAACCAACCAAGAACCATCTGGAATTTCTTACTTCCGACATGCTTTGTTACATCAGGCTACCCTGACCAGAGTCCACAGGCACACCCACGAGGCATGGAGTATTCCCGTCCCTAACATCCCCCCCACCAGAACCCCAGCGCAATCGAGGGGATCACATACACAGACACACACAGACACACACAGACAGACAAACAGACAGACAGACAGGCAGACCGACGGTCCCACGGACCGACAAACAGACAGACCCACACCCACATGCACTTGGAATGTGCGAATACGAAACGGCAGCGTCTGGCAGTCCAAACAGTGCTCTATCCGTCCGAGACACGAAATGACAAATGACCGGCTTAGTCAGCCGAAAGCGACTGTGCGAGAGCTGGTATAACTGCCTGAAGCAGGTGCTGCAACTGGAAGCTTGCAAAACCCTGTCCGGCACACGTTGGGCAGGCCTTTCGGCATCGATGAGGCCATTGCCTCCAGCGCGCATCATCGGAACCATCGTTTATCTAGTGATTCTAGTGTCAGAACCGTTTGAGCTACGCGCACTAGCGGAGCTTGTTTCCTCAGCTTGCTCCCAATCCAAGGCAACTAGTCCACTGTGATGATTGCTTTCCACGGCAAGCTATCGTTTGACTTACTTATAAGTTTCCTACCCGGAGACGGAGTGTAGCAAACAAATTCACGGATCGAGCCGGCTGCATTTTGGGATTCAAGGCCTTGGGGATGAAATTTACGCTGTATCTGCACAGTTGCTGAATACACGATGCTGGACGGATCAAACGCTGATCGCGCCTGCTGTAAGCAGAATGATGGCCTGCCCGGTTGAGCGAAGCATCCGGTCCTTCGGGAGGCTTTCTTGACAAACTTCATTGGACTCTTAGAACAAGCTTCTCATTCGACATGCGAGCAAACGATTGCAACCGCATGCGCGATATTCTGCGATGCTCGCATCACAGGAAGTGCCGTTTTTCAACGAACCTGTCCAGGTAGTGCCTGTCGAAATGGTCAAGGACCAGATTGAGGCACTCCAGGATGTTGCCTGCGTGAGTTTTTCATGCTTCGAGCTCCTACTAGCCGCAAGTCTTTGAGCAGTGGAAGGCTCGAAAAAGACGAAGCTTCTTCACAGAGAAGCGAGAGCTTACTGCTGACACACAAGCTGCAACTTTCAAGCCGGAGCTGCACGTCCGGTATGCGACTGTGTGCGGCCTTTCGACGCCTCTGTCATGGATCTTGCAGACACCCCACCTGAGCTGCAAGCTTGGCTGCACCTTCCCGGAATTTATTTAGCGTACTTTGCGAGACTTTGCACCCGCTTACTTGCGACAGATTATTCCGAATCGGGGTTTCGGTTCTGCAGGAGTACTACTTGCAAAACAATGCATCCTCGCAACTCCAGTCGGCGCCGCCTCGCCATACCATGCAGTCAGTATAGATAGGGTGGCTAAGTCAGTATCTATCTGCCCCTCTACAATGACATCATCGAGATGGGGCCGTATGATGGGGTAGGGCCTGTCGGTCCGGAAGAGGTGCTGTTCGCATTCTTGATGCCGTGGTACTCCTTCGCAAGCGGGAATCGCCTGTTGTATCGTCCAGCTCGACCTCTTACAGCATTGGCCGTCCTCGTGCATCGACATGCAAACCTGCCGAATCCTGAACAACTGACGTCTGTGTAGTACTGCGCAGAGGGTGGCCTGCAGCCATTCGTAACCGCGCCTCACAGCAAGCTCCTGACCTGCTGGGAGCACACGTGCCCAGCCCTCCCAGAAAACATCATAGAAGTCCTCAGTCTGGACACGCATTACTGCCTGTGGACCACTTGCGGCATGCACTTCAGCTAATCATCCACAAAAAGGATGATCGCAAGGCAGAGACCTTCGGTTCTATCTTGTTCTTGGGCTTCGCCTGATCGTGACATTCCCTGGCCCCGGAATGGTCCGCCATGCTGAAGACATCCCATGGCTGAGGTACATGCATATGTGTCTTGCTCGACTTGCAGCCAATTGCCTCCTTTTGCCTGCGACCGAAACAGAAAAAAGCTGAAACAGCAACACTCGTGAAAGTGTCGAGGTGAGCTGTTCACAAGACTGCGGTGAGCCCTTGTAATGACCGCACTTGTACCTCTGCATCTGACTTGGCAACTCCTGCAGGTGTGTGGAGCGGATCTGAGAAAATTATCGTGTCGATTCACTCACAAGTCTCCCAGCTCGTGGAGTGACTAGTTTCCTGGAAGCTTATTGAGGTCCTTTCGATCGGGTGAAGAGGATCATGCGCACATAGTGCCTGGATCGCACAGTTTCGGTTGAATCACGCTTGATTGCCGCAGTGGCTACAGTGCGGACAAGGGGCCCGCTTCCTCTGGTCACCCGTAGCGATTTCTCAACCAGTTGGGTGAAGCATTCGATCAAGGCCTGCGAGAAGATGGAAGCAAAAGTGATCCAGACTGCTTGGACTCCCAAAGCGAGAAGGCATAGCGGTCTAGGGAGTCATGGGATGGACGAGACCGCGCAGGCCTCCCAATATGGTCTGCCGGCCATGCCTTGGCCCGGATGCCATGAATGAAGTGGCCGACAGGAATTCTGGCGATCTGGTGCCCTGTGCAGTATACGTCAAGACGGAGTGGCTATACTCCCACAACTCCGAGCTGATCTGCACCAGCACGAACATGTTGGCCGTGACGGACTTGAAGGATACCTGTCCCAACATTCCCAAGCAACACGTTGGGCCGGTGGCGAAGCAGCGGCCTCTGTGGTTCGGTCGACGAAGCCGGAGATTGCAGGCTTCCCATCCGTGAAGACCAGCCGCTCGAATTCGCTGTTGGTCACCAGCTGTTTCAGCCTTGCACACGATCTGTCCCAAGGAGTCGGAAAAGCTTCGCACGCTTCGTCGACGCCAGTCTTTGCGGACAAGCATCGAATGGTTGAAGTTGGCATAAAGGACTTGGCCACCACCCTGTGGAGAATCAGTCTATAGCTCATGCAGTACAGGGGCTGCAGAAACTGCGAGCTCAATTGGGGATGTCACCTGCAGCATGCGCAGGTGCAAGTGCCAAATGTCCCGCTTGGACAGGTACCGGTCGAAAACTTGAATGACGACTTCTGCCAGGCGTGCCTGTCACTGCAAAGCTTTAGTCAGTCTGTGCAGGGCGGCTGACAGCGTTAAATGTGATGCGACGGTCACGAACACATCGCTTTACCCAGGCTGTGCGGTGCGCGGTGCACCTCTTCTTTCGGCACTTCCTGGAGCTCCACCTCTGACAACGCTTACGCTTACCGGCCGCAAGATGCCGCTTCCGGCCTGCTTGTCGGAGACTTTCGCCTGCGGAAAGCAGACGAGTTTTCGGCTTTCCGCCAACTGAGGCTCTCGTCCTCTCTCACCAGCACCCCCGATGTTCCACTCTTCGTCACGTCTTCATAAGCAAAATCTCCCGAAACAGGGTTCACACGGCTCACTGATTCTGGTGCAACCTGTTCCGCAGGCCAGAGCCTTGTGCAGTCTTCATTCCAAAGCCGATTTGTGCATAGCAGTGGTGTGAGCTTTGGCTGAGCCCCGAGTTTGACAACTCCGTCCAACTGGAAAGCTTGGGCTGCAGGGTCAGAGACAGCAAGGATCACCAACACACGGAGTGCGGATTATCGATCGCCCCTACCCTGCAGACTACTTGCATTTCGTCGACACGACCAGGAGCCTGTCATGCCTCGCCGACTAGTTTGCGTGTCTGCATGGGTTTGCCACTGTCCAAACCAACCCTGAGCCTGCAATTGCAAGCAGTTGTGTGTCATCTGTGTCTGTACATAGACATGTCTACGACCATAGGAAGCCAAAGCAGCACTTTCCGATCATTCATGCTATAAACTACAACTACCAATACCGCGAGCAGCTAGCGTTACTATTTTTGGTGAAGTGGTTTACAGCATGCGCAAAACCATATTACCGATGCTGCGACAACTAAATTGCCCCCCAAACAATAGTTGCGAATAGATCGACAACACAACAAGCTCCATCATAGCAGAGGACTTGCTGCTTTTAGCAATGAGCAGTATCGACCTTGCTGGCTAAAGTTAGCTAGTTCTGCTGCCAGTGGCTTTTTTGGAGAATTGTTAACATTTTATCAGGTTCTCCCGCTAGTCTTACCATTCGTAAAGTAACCAACGTTGTCAGAGACTCCAAATGCTGCAGCGGGAGTGGGGTGACCACGCATACCAAATATGACCAAACATACCGTGGTGTACCTCGGATTTCCTTCCTTCGGATTTCCCTCTTTCCTTCATTTGTTCCTTGCTGAAGGTGGCTCATGATGGCTCATGTCACAGGCAGGTACCGATGCGCAACCCGATCTGAAGTAGCATCAAACCATGTTGGCCGTGGCAAGTTCGGGACGGGAGCAGGAGTAGAAGTAGTAGTAGGAGGAGCAGTAGAGTCGTCAAGGAACTTCGACTTTTGGAGCAAGCGCGTTTCACCTGATCTTCGAGGGCTCTGAGAAAGTTGGAATGAGCGGCTGTCATGCCTCGTGCCGTGGAAAATAGGGTGTGGGTCGCGGGCACTCGCAGCTGGACCGCGAAAGGCATTTAGGCCCGAAGGCATGACGCAGCGCTGCACACGTCAAGCTCATCATACAGCATAGTACAAGTACAGCTCAACTCCCACCATGTTGCATCAGCCGCACCTGCTGAGCGATTTCATCGAGAAGACTTACCCCTTCCAGGTCTCCCGAAAAGACCTGCAAGTCATGCCAGCATCGTCGACAGGCCCAGCCTGCTTGCTTGACCTTCTTCTATCCTCCTGCCTTGCGCTGTGCACGTACAAAGAGCCGTAGATTAGGCTGGCTCTTGCTGATGATGCGCAGTAACCTTAAGTTGTGGAAAAGCGAACGCCGAACAGGCATGGGCATGTTTGTCGGGACCACTCACGTCTTGCTCCTGCCTGTGAATGAGACTCCGACTGCAACTGTGTCTTGTGCCGCCAAACACACTGATCAGACGGGCTTCGGGTGATCGGACTTCGTTGGGCTCTTTGCTGGAGCATCATGTCCGAGATGCTGAAATCGTGAAGGTCGTGGCTTGTACTGAATGTCTGGTTCGGAATCCATCATGCCGTGCGTTTGCTTCTGTCCCATCATGCCTGGCCGCTGTCTGCCGGGAATGACAGGTCGAACACTGGTTGTGCCTTCACACGGCCTGTATCGCCTCTGTCGAAACTTCTTGATACTGGGGGCATCGCTTGCTTTGCACATTTATTATCCGCTGGCAGTAAGAGGACACTGGCTGCGGGCGGCGGCCATCGCAGCATTGCAATCAGATTGTAATCCAGCATACTTGAGCCATCGAAGCTCAGAAAGTTTGGAAGTGCGACGTGACCTCAGAACTCCCGGCTCCAAAAGTATTGCAGACTTCCAGACCCGTTTGATTGACAACAGCCACAAAGCTTTTTGGATTGGGCCGTCTTCGGCGGTTTGGCATACCGTTCAGGATTCAGCACATGCTTGAGACAGAAAAGAGGAGTCCCTGATGTTCTCTAATGTTCCGGAGTGGCCTCTCTGCTTCGCATTTGGAGTACGGCAAACTTGCTCCGTCTCCCTTTTCGTCTCCCTTGCCACTTCACACTTCGTGTCGCTTCTGATTTCACCCCCCAAGCCAACCCTGTCTGAAGTGCAGTGGTTGGGATGCGGTCTGACCGGTCATGATTGCTACAGTTCTGTGACCTACGCCAGTACCGTTAAAGGAAGCGGAATGAAGTGGACAGACGGGTCATCGGACGATGCACTCCACATCACTCCGTTCCCCGCGGTGTTGCGTTGACGCCTCTCTCTGCGTGGACTCTCTCGCACTCTGCGCTCAATTCAGTGCCTCACACCCATGGACTGGCCCAGGGTCTTTAGTTTGCGGGCTAGAGAGCTCTGGGCAGTGGTCAAATTGCGATGGGAGAGTGCTCAAGACTCTGGACCTCTCAAAACCAAACCCATTGACGTCACTGGAGGTGGCTCTCTGGCTTGTCTCGACTTCTGGAGATGCAAGCCGACATCAAGATCATTGCCTTGCAGTTTGTCCCAGCTGAGATTTTCACAAATTGTCGTCAAAGCGATCGCGCACTTTCTTTCCCAGAAGACATGCAGCCTGGCGACATGCATCATACACACAACGAAGTTGCACGCTTACCTTTATTTCAGCCAGGTGGCATTCCGGCTTTGGAAAATGTGGGTTCTGCATGGAACCGAAAGCAACCTTGGGCAATAACAAAACCGGCAAGCAACAACTGCGTATCAGTTTGGCTCAAACATCCTGGACCTGCACTGTCCTGTGTTTTGCCAGTCGACCCCGTCTCTCTGCACGAAATACAAGCATCATGGCATATCGTGAGAGATGAAACTTCAATGCGAGACTAGATCCAAAACCCGGCACTCTCTGCGAAACTTGAAGCGCATGCTCACAGCTAAGACATCTACTTTGGCTTTTCGTCGTGCTCTTCTTGCTTCAGCCTGTGGCAAGCACGAACAATGCAGCGTCAAGCACGCTGGCACGATACGGCCTCGAAGCAGAAGTGTCTACACAGCAATAATCGAATCATCTCATGCAGTCAAGCATCTCTTTTTGTCGCTGCTGGAACCTGCGGGAGCGAACTGTAATTTAAGGGTACATAGGCACTTCATTTCCACAATGTATACCTGAAGAGAACAATAAAGAAGAAGCCAGTTTGCTACCGACCACGCCTGGCAACGATGCCTCGCACAGGCCTGCAGCTCCATTCGAGCTCACCAGGACTTTGAGCAAGTTCGGCATGTTACCTTTATATGTGATGTTCATGCAACAGTGGACGTCCTCGCCCCAATGGGCAGGTTGGGTGTTTGCCTTTCTCGGCGTGTTCCACTCTTTCCGAGCTTGGTTGCAGGCGACCTGGTGTGGCAGGCTTCTCATTCGCACAATGGAACGAAGCGATGGGAATTTCGACCGACCTTTCGTCGTCGCTTTTGTGTTCGACCGTCCAGCTGTCCAGAGTAGCGCCCTTCGCTCACGCCAAGGCGACGTGGGTGACATGTGGTGGCAGAGGCTCCACTGATTTGCCGCCGTTGTGTGCGCATGCTTGGACTGAGATCAGCACCCTTCCTGCGCGGTTCGACCCAACATCGTATTCTGAATGATTTCTGGGACCGTTTACCAGATAGGATCTGGTTGAGAAAACAGTAAAGAGGACATTCCCAGGTTGACAAGCACAAATGAAAGCATTATCTGGTTAGGAAGACGATAAGCATAGATACATGAACATGCATTAACGGAACACATTGTATCACAATGGGTGACTGCTACGACTCAAATTTGTCCTGCGATTTCTGCGGCGTGCGAGGAGCGAGGAGGCAGTTTTGGAGTAAGGCAGTGTTCGCATTCAGTGGTATTTGCAGCATGTTCGGTGGGCCGAGTAAATGCAACATGCCGGAACCAGGCACACGGGAGTATTATTATTGTTGCCAGACGAAGAGAAGGGGGCCGAGGATCTTGGGTGGCGGGGTGGCGGTTAGCATCCACAGCCTTGAACGACCTTCGCGACTCTCGCCTCCTTCCCTGCCAGGATGCCTGGAAATATCCGATCGATGTTGATGCTGTTGACGGCCCAGGCATATGGTTGGTCGTAAAGCAAAAACCATAAACAATCAATCGTGGCAGCCTGGCATCACATGTCCACGAGAAGCAGCTTCCGACATGCTACAAAAATCAGCCAAAGATGGGGTACGTGTGCAGGTAAAGTCCATGCAGTTCTTAGCAGGTTGCCTTGTGAAGTTTGTCCGCTCATCCTTGTTGCTTCGGCCCGTCTGTCGATACAGCATAGTACTGGGATCAAACTCATGCCCGCAGAACCAGGAGCTTGATGCACCCATTTGAGATTCAAAACTCTCTGGAGTTGTAGAGAGCAAAACGGAGAACTTGAGAGCAACTTAGTGAATTTTAGTGGCGCCATTTCTGCAGCATGAGAGGGCAAGAAGCCAGCAATGGAAGTCGAAAGAGAGCAACAGAGAGTAATAGAGCAGCAGATGTCTGATCAAAGCCATCTCTGCAGAACTGCCCCTTGCTACAACGAGACATGAACCACACAGCAATATTGTAGTTTTTTCGAAATCGATGCAAAACCCAACGCCACCAGCTATGAGCGGGTTGCTGTCATTAGCCTCGTCGGAAACTGGAAGGTTCACCCAGCTGACCAGTTTGCGCAGGAGCCATGTTGTTGCAGCCAAGCCATCCGAGGCTCTCGCATTCCGAGCGAAGTGATCCAATCTAAGTCCAGGCAGAGCAGATTAGACAAGCCTTGCAGATCTTTGCAGATACGGACACGACCGAGGATCCCACCCTTCAGAAACGCTGCAAGGATCGGAACAAAGCTGCCAGGGGAGCCATGTGTGAATCCCTTTCGGCGCTTAGAGGCTTAGCGGCCTCCAAGTTCCAGGAGCTGAGTCAAACAGGAGCAAAGCTACTGTTCGACACTTACATACCATAGCCGAGCACTACTGTTCGACACTTACATACCATAGCCGAGCACTTTCTTGCAATGCCAGGCTGAGCAATGTGACGGCCGATGTTGCCTCGAGCAAGCCCTGAACAGTGTATGGACTTGGAACGCTACAACCCTCAATCTCGTTCAGGACAGGTAGCAGAATTCGGAGTGTCTACCGGTTTGAACCTTCAACTTTTAATGAACTGATCAAGATGATGAAGCACGCCATGCAGACGTTGGTTGTTTGATCCTCACGGAACTCCACAGAGTCCGACAGTCTTGAGCCGTGTCCAAAGGATGTAGATGCCAGTATGGGGGGCAGGCCTGGAGGGCCGTCGCAGGGACATGTCCAAAACTGAACAACCTGAAGGCATGTCGTACTAGTCGCACACCTGTCACAGAAGATGCGAGGTAGAGCTGATCTTGACGCTGTCTGGCTGAGCAAACATTAGAAGGTACAGTACTGGTATGGCAACCTCAAGTCTAGGTCCTGGTGGTTGGGGCACGAAGCTGGATGCAGGCAGGCTTCCCAGCCTCGGGAACACGACAGCTGGTCTCGCGTCAGTCTGGCAGCTTTGCTGAAGTTCCTTTTGGATTCTTCGGCAGCCTGAGATGGAAACCAAACAAAGGCAGATAAGAATGCCAACAACCGCAGCCGCCGCTTTGAGTTCACCATTGCGACTGCCGATGGCTGGCGTCTTCTGTTTTGCTACTTTGTTCTGTGGAAAAGTAACAAGCGGTACCTTTTCCATGAATGTCTCAGAACACTCCTAGCACTTCTGATTTCAAGCATCTTGTCTTGAAAAAGCAGCCGTGCCGGTGATGGTTGAGCAATAGTCTGACGGGTCCATCTACAGGCTCCGTTGTCGTGCACACATATCTAGTTAGCGGCTATTTCTGCCCATACCATGTGACGGCCATGCCGTGTAGCTGCGTCCTGTGCGACCTCTGATGCGAACACCAACGATCGACCATATTTTGCTGCGGCACGTACACGCTCTTGCAGTATGACCGACCGCACGCAAATCCACCGCACTCTTTGAGTGAGATGTGATTCTGCAAGAACGAGTGAAAGAGGATGAGGGAAAAAAAGAGCAAGAGAGACAGAGAGAGGAAGACCCAGAAAGAGAGGTAGGCAAAGATTGCAAAAGGGCCTGCTCACGATCCATTACCCAGTCGATAGTCGTGAACGGGAAAGATGATCGCCATGACAGCTTCATCCGTTTGCTCTTGAACCAAGCGCGTTCCCTGGAATGGCAGACTCAGGCAGCCGCTAGTGCAAGACCTATGCTTGTGCCGATATCCGGCCCAACACGCAAACTTTGGACATTTTCGCGCCTCGGCGTGCTACATTCTTGTACTGCTGGTTATTGCCCCTGCTGTTGGCGCTCGCTGTGAAGATCCGTGTCATCTCAACGGACCTGCACGAGACGCCTTGACCAATCTCACCCTGTCCCGAACACAAATGCTGGCAACATGCTTCTTCGACCTGCGTGCATAGAGACTTCGATTTGAAGCTGCTCCTTGGTGGCAGCCATAGCAAAGGAATCCATTCGAGAAGGCTGAGGAAGCTTGCTTGCCGAGGAGCGGGATGGAGATCCGCATTCCTGGACGTGCAGTAGAAACACAAGTTATTCCTGTGTATATATACTCGTCTCTGTCTGCCTATGCATCTATCTATCTATCTATCTACTCGGGTTAATCAATCTTGTATGTGTATATGTATACGTACATATGTTTCTATTATACTGTATCATACTTCATCGTATTATTTCATATTATATGACTTTATTTCATGTTGTATCATATTACGTCATAGCATAACATGTCATATCAGATTACATTATCAACACATCGTCGGCAACGTGCGGTAGTATCATCTAGCTTTTTGGTGAGTCTTTTCTTGTGAATCAAGGAAAGACAGGCAATACTCAGTAGTACTCTCTTGCTTTCAGGTAAACCTTTTGGTCTAAGTAGAGCCTGGAAGCAAGAGGTTGTAGCTCACGACGAACAGCCCCCGAACGTAAACGCAACAACACAACTGGCTGAAGCCGGAACGTGAAATCGTATACGACAGGGATTATCGGCATAGGTCTGGGATAGCACGAACAGGCCGGACGACGCGCCTTCTCTGAGATTTTCTAAACTCGATCCAATGTTCCCTGATGTTCCCTGTCCTGCTCCGCAGTTGCTGCGGCCTCATGCTTAGAAGCACACAGCAAAAGTCTGGACCAGTGACCATACGGGGGTGCAGTGTGGGAGCCTTGATCTGCTTCAGGTCTTTGCGGATGAACTCCAGGTCTTGGCGAATGCACAGCACATCGGCCTGTCAGGAGTGACAGACATCTATTGGTAGTCGCCCAAACGGCCGGATGAGGCCACAGCCGACTTCGCAGGTCCATGGGCCCGTATCATTCCTCAGGAGTTTCATATCACAGTCCGTCCAAGAGACTGATTTGCATGATATGCTTGTTGGATGTCTGACCTTTCTAAATACTTCCGGAAGGAGTACGGAACTCTTGCCTCGGGCATCCTCGGGCAGAACTGCCCGAAGAGCTCGTTCGACAAGTCATCAGAGGCCCTTTCGGTTTTCCCTGGCGCTCCTTCCATGAACTTGGTGTAGGAAACCTGCCCCTCGTCGTCAGCCAACATATGGAAGAGCGAGTGACTCTCCTCGCGGACATCCGTGTGTGTGGTGCCAATATGTGTCAATATCCTATGGTCAAGTCGCCAAGTTCACGCAAAACAAACAAAGCAAACCAGCCAGCTCTGTCCCAGCCCGTCTGCGACAAACAAACTCTGCTTCAGCTCAGGCCAAGATGCATTTAGGTCCACCTCCAAGCCAGCCAGAAACCTCTTGACGTTGGGATCCTCGAGATATGAAACCATAGTATAACGACCCGAATACAAGTTCGCATTCGCTATTCATACAGAATATACGGCATAAACGAGAATGTCCACAATACATGTGTCACCCATGCTAAGCAGAAGTTGCATATTCAGTTTTCAACGTCCATGTGCCGTCTCCTGTGTCAACGCTCTTTCAAACTAGACTGCCATGCATTCTTCAAGCTGGGCATTGTCCCACAACCGTCCTCCATCATGCTCCTGAACTCGTCTTCCGAGATGAGCCCGTCGCCAGAAGTATCAACTTCGTGGAAAACTCTTTCCAGTTTGCGCATATACTTCTGCTTTGTGGCCTGCGCAAAGATTGAGCACCCAACAGCTCAACAACTGGCTTTTCTGACAGACTTCGAAAAAACGAGCACGTCATGCACTCGGCCACATAACACTTGGCATCTCCCTTCATGCATGCATGCCGCACATTTCCGTTGCCTCCTTCTCAGACATCACAACTTCATGATCTTCGCCGGCAGCATCCAATGTCTCCTCAACTGAAAAACAGAATGAACTTCCATTGTACGAGTTGCACTTGCTCGGACATAACATCAACGCCGTCAGCTTAACAACTTATCCTGCGCAGCAAAGTTTGCATGAAGTTCCCTTTGAAGGTTTGGTGTTTCGTGGGCGCGGCAGTTGCAATCATGCCACACCCTTTGACGGTAGGCTCTCTCGAAGCGCGCCTTGATGAAAATTGCAGTAATCACTCTCATCACTGCGAAGACGACGAAAGTTACGTAAGCGCAAAAGAACACTGAGTACCTCAGCTTGCTGCAGGCGGTCTTGATGCCATAAATCCGAAGCATGTGCTTGAGATACCGCGATCATGTAGCCGCGAGGCCAGTGACTGATGTTCTCGTACAGCGGGTTTACATATGACGGCCAACATCCGGCAAATGTCACCTGCACAGAACGCGCCAAATTTGCCGAGGTTGCAAAAACGAAGTGTCGGACCACTACAGTATTTGTAATCGCAGCAACCTGACGCAGGCTTCTCGCCGTGGCCCGGTCTCGATAGTTGTGTGCCCGTCAGTCAGCAGCACTAGTTCGGTGGTCGCGATTTAACGAAGGCTCAGCGAATCAATCCGTCGCAAGGTGATGCCGACCCGCCCTCCCACTGAACGCATCTTTTCTTCAAGAATTCTGCTGCTCTGATTTCCGATCGTCGGTTCACCTGAGGCGAACATTCATGACAGAAGCAGGGATGTAGAACTTGACTCCCGGAATAGCCTAAGGGTGGGATCGGGTGGGTAAATGGCCACGTGCACTTCCCTACCCACCTACCCTGAGTGTTCATAAGGACTTGCAACCCTCCCACTGAACGAAAATTGCTGCTGCTCTGATTTCCGCTCGTCGGTCTCCTGGGGCGAACATTCATGACATTTCATGACGGAAGCAGGGATGTGGAGCTTGACTCCCCGAAAAGCGCTAAAATTCCGAACCGCTGGCTTCACGAGTCGGTGGATGATGAACAATCCAGAGGAAGCTTCGACATCAGAGATGAAGAACTCTTCCAAGCATGAGACTCTGTCAGCCAGTCAGCCAAAGCCTGTAACGGCTTGGCAAGCTGGGATTGCTGTTTAAGTAGACGAGCAGCGACTGAAACCAGTGGGGACTCCGCTAAATAGCTCAATATGGCAGAACTGCTCCAACGACAGCCCATCACTGCCAGGAGTTCAGCACCTGTAATATGCATGGCGTGACATGAAATGAAGGGACGGTTCATGTGACAAGATGGTTTCTCGTTCAAGCAAGGCCACAACGGCCTCTTTAGACATGGCGCTTTCCTCAGCTCTAGGGAAGAGAGCGAGCCTTGATCACGGCATCCGCTTGGACTGAACGAACCGGTTCTTCAAGGCCACGACGTACTTGCCCAGGAGGTGGACCGGACAAATGTCACAAATCCCACAGAGGCAGTCCAGGCTGCTAGTCAACCTTCTGGCTCCTAAGTCTGTCTTGGAGGCCGGTGGGAAGATACTCAGCCTGCAGCCGTTGTTCGAAAACCTCAACTCTGGCGCCAAAACGCTTGGGATTGCCACCTGTCGGCAGAGGAACCATGTCCCAAAAAGCATATGTAGGCAGAAGGACAAAAGGATGCTCTGTCGACGGTGGTGTTGTAGCATACAGGCATTTAGTCATGCGCTTGTCGTAATCAAGCGGATCTGAACGTTTCTTGGCAGCGAAGCCCCTTGCCGGAGGCCCCTGGCAACAGACCTCTTGCAGTCCTTAGCAAGGAGAGCCAGCTGAGAGGTCCAGGAACGGTCCTCCACGATATGAGATCCCTTGACCCTCGAAACGTAACCAGGAAAACTCTTGTATTTCCCGGCCTTGAACAAAGCTGACACCCTAAGGAAGCTGATGTAAGTGACTTGCAAAACAGGGAAATCTTCCACCACTTTTGTGTTGAACTAGGTCCATGTGGCCAGCCGCAGGAGCCGCATTGGAAGCTGCATGCATATCCAGCTGAAACAGCCAACCGCTAACTCGAGTTCCTTCTCACTCGAAGCAGCTTCAGCAGCTGCGGACTTTGAAGCGCGAGCATTGTAAACAACCTGAGATTGATCCTGTCTCGTGCGATGCGTGACGCAAACCCGAGCCGAAGCACCACCGGTAGACCTCGATAGAAACTTAGGTGTGCAAGTGGACAACATTCTGAACCAAGCGGCACATGCACTGACGAGTGCCCATCCCGTATCAAGCACTGTAAAGTCTGTAAAGTGTCCAGTGCTGAACCAAGACCGGGAGTAAGCACAGTGAAGGGAAGCTTCCGTTTTTGAACGGCTGCATAAGCCAAGATTGCCAGTGCAACCCTCGTGATCCTATGTGATGCTTAACATCGCAAGGACCCCAGCGACGCCACCTACTGCCAGTTGGTTGCTCCGCGGCGGAGCTGAGGGGGGGAAACGGAGCGCCGTCATGAAAGCTCCCTGGGTGGGAGGCTCACAAAACCCCGCGCTGGCAAACTAAATGCATCGCAGATCCCGGGATGTGCTCGGCAAATTTGGGAGTGAAGCTAGCATCACCCAAATCCAAAGCAAACTCCCTTGCATCAATGGAATTTCGGCTGGAGGTCGTCTTGAGCCTCGCTAGCAAGACCAATGCACCGACATTGTCAGAACGAAGAGCAAGTGTGACGCGACGTTGCTTCCAGGAGCCTGGCCAAGACCGCAAACACACCAATCCTGCCAAACGATCGAGGACTTGTTGGCTGTCAGAGTCCCAGATTTGGATTCTAAGTCAGTTTCAAATTCGCCCGGAATGATTGTTCAACAGCGCACTCGTTGACGAGCAGAATACCGCCGAACCCCCGCGGGTTCGCATCCCACGCTACGCAGATGCTGGGCCCCGCGCTTCTGAAACCATCCAATGGCCAACTCCGGTGTACTTTAAGGCAATCAAAGAAGCAAGGAACCAAAGCAGAGTCGTGCGAATCTGGGAAGCCCAGATGCATGCCGCTGGAGCTTTGAGCTGGAAAGCGGCATGAATTGCAGCATAGAGTTGCTGCACGAAAGGCTTCCATGTGCGAACGACAGAAGCAATTGACATTGCTTTCCCTGCGATCTTGTGCAGACACTTACGCGACATAACGTTGGTATTGATAAATTCTTCGCACATCCTCTCTAGTTCCAACACCTTGTTTCTCGGAATCGTCACGGACACTCCATCGTCCAGAATTTGTATGACCAATCTGCCATCGTGTTTTGCGACAAAGAAGCGCCTTTCACCTGGATTCAGCGGTACCAGCCAACATGCGTACGAAACATCCGCGACTGATTGCTCCAGAACCTCGCCATCTCTCAGCGCAGACATCTGTGAGAAAATGTCTTCAACTGCATCCGTGAGTCTGGAGAACTGAGCGAAAGTTGCGGCTGTAACAAACGACTGCTTCGTGTCCATAATGATGCGATGCTTTTTCGTCAGCACCCCTTCAGAGTTCAGCTTTTCCGAAGCGATGCGAGCTAATTTATTGAGAACTAGCACATCTCCCAGACTTGCGATGCCCTCACCCAACCCAGGAAGTTTCATCCACGTCAAACTCCCTGGGTTTCAGAGCGACAGGAAACGTTTCGTGAGATGACCTGCTCAACTCGACAGACGTTTTCACGCCCTGACGAAAATAAGAAACCATGGCTTCACATAAAGCCGCGTTCATGCCCTCACAAAGCCACACAAAAGCCTCAGTAACTGGTGGTCCTGCAGGCTCCCTGTCCTGCAGCATCGATGGGTGCCACTGTTCTCGCAAACCTCGGAAAACTAATGGAGCCAAGTGTCTCAGTAGCCTTCTCGAATTTCGATCCGACTTGGCACTGGGGACAGGTGAAGGCAATCACCCCGCTCAAATTGGCCAGCGCCACAAACTCATCCAGCTCGAATATTGGCGGCATGAGATGACAGCGAGCAGGGCTAGTGATGGCTAGAGGATTCTGAGTCTGCAAACACAGATATGCCATCTTGGCCGTCATCGATGCAAACCAGTTGTGCTGTCTTACTGTGTGTTTCGACTCGTGCCGACATCTTGCAGACCGTATCTGCCTGGCCTCTCGCGCAGCAGTGGAAAACCTTCGCCCCCAGCCTCACTGCACCAGAAGCTGCTGACAGGCGGAGACATGACAACCGAAGCGTAATAACTTGCCCCGACTCGACTCACGAGCATTCGCCACGTCTGATCATCAAGCAGACCTGTGCTCGGAACGGCTTCTAAATCGAGATACAGACTGCCGTTGCCAGCAAGCAGCCGGTCCGGAAAACAAATAAAGCGGGCGTGGCTTCCCCTCGCCCTGAATTCTCATGCGATCCTCCTCTTCAGGAGGATTAGCACCGTCCGTAGCTCGTAGTCAGTAAGGTCCCGCACGGCCCTTTGCGCCTTTGCCCTTTCCCTTCTCGCCTTTGGCGTAGGGGTTTGTATTCCTGGGCCTGATCGTAGCCGCGGAGGCATCTGCTAACGGAGGCCTCAGGTCTGTGGCAAACTGGGGTCGCGAAGCCCGCGCATCATCCTGCTCAGCGCGATCAAAGCTGGCTCCATGAACTCTTCTGTCCGAAATCTGTCCCGATCGACCAGAACCCGAAGGGATTCACTCCACGGACGGTTGTCGTTGTAAGCTGTTGCGCCCCGAACCTTGACGGCCTCGGCAGGCGCCGTCTTCAGCTTCAAGGGGCCACTCCTCGAGTCTTGCACGAAGGTCAGCCTGGTACAGCAATGCCCAGGACATTTCTCCGTAGCGCTCCAGCATCCTCTCCACACGTGCTTGGTGTTGAAGGAGAGGACCCAGATCAGCTGCGTCGAGCATAACCATGGGGTTCATGAAAACGCCGTAGCTAACGTCCCGTTCAAGACCAAACCCTAAAACTTGAGTTTGCGCTTCATGCATGTCCCATGCAGACCATGGATAGCGAAATCGCAGTAAGGAGCCTGGTTGCTCGAAATCTTAAGATTTCAAAGGTGCGAGCTGCTCAGCCGTGGGTTCACGATTCGTAGCTGGCCTTGGGCCTTTGCCAAACAGCGCCTCGTAGCGGGCATACATTGCCAGCACCTCCGCTTCGTTCAACAACTCCACTTCCGACTCGTCCACTTGGGATAAAACTTGACATTAAGTGAGTTTGACCTTCCTCCCTGCCAAGAGACGAGGCTGTAAAAGCTGTGGGAGCACAATTGCCACCCAAGCGACGTCTACAAACACGACCGAGGAGTCTAGCAGCTCCAACTTCTGTAGCTCGCGGGGCCCCCTGTGCAGTGGCCGTACCGGTAGCATCATGCACAGTAGTGGTGATCCTCCACTTCCACTCCTGTATGACGTGAATGAATCAGCGGCTCCAGCTAGGCCAACGAACTCGGCCACTGCTCCGAGGGTGCTTACAGCGTCGCCAAAGTGGCGAAATCAGGGCTCCCCATGAAGTCCGAAGTAACTTGTTGGACCCTCAATGAAATGGTGCAATTGCGCCAAGTAGCCACCTGCACTTCCATACCCACCTACCCTCAGCTCAGAATGTTCATAAAAATTTGCAATTTGCAATCCCTCACGCCAACGGGCGCTGTTGACATCGATAGAGGTGACAAGGTGCCGCAATTAAGACCAGTCGATAAAATTACAGGCCAACAACAAAACGATACTTCGGCTTCACCGTTTGGTGGAAACTGTGCCGCAATGTCCTGACCCAGTGGCAACTCCGTCAGCCGGTTGTCCCCGGCAAAGAAACAGGCGCTGAGCTGCAAAGGAGGTGGCGGCAAAAGCGGCCAAGGCGGTCGAAGGCACCAACTGATTTGATAGAAACAAATAAAAAATAGCACACGTTCACCGACGCGTAGCATAACGGATGTTTCTGCGCCATAATAGTACATACATCCTACGGGTGCTTTCTTAGTTCTCTCACAATGTCTTCAAATGTGTTCCGCTGTGCTCTTTGTTGTTTCGATTCGCTTGCAATAGAAACAGCCCTTTTGGATGCAAATTTATATCGCTTCTTTGCACCATAATGCTCCGTGGCTGACTTTGCGGATCGTCCTTCATGCTTGCAGGAGGGTTGGTGGTCAAAGTTCGACACGACTCCAGTTTTTACACACCAGACGCACTTCGTTCACTGCATTTTTTCGACCAGCCTTGCTATGGCGGACACGTGGGATGGCTGCGCCAGCATGTGTGTAGCTTCGCATTCCTGCTTGTGCGACGATGCAAGTCGTCAACGAAGGACATCTGGCTGCTCCTACCAGTTCAGGCATTCCCAAAGTCGAGTCTGCGTGTGGCTGTTGGAATCGACAAGACCGGAGGTCGCAGAAGCTGCCTATGGGTTCGCAATTCGCAAAAGTGGACTTATGCGGCGTCGCTTCCTTCTTGTTTCTGCCGTGAAACACCTCGAAGGCCACGCTCAGCTGGTACTGATTGGGCGATTTACATCAGGCGCAAGGCAGCCAACCGGCCACTACTGCTGGCGCTGCCCACGTCGGATCGAAAGAGCGCGGGGCGCTTCTTCAACTGTGCCAACCCTGGGTACTTTGCCTTTAGCTCAACATGGCGCCAGCTACCCAGCAGAACAATCAAGAGGTGAGCCCAAATCGCCATCAGAGAGACAGACAACCATCAAAGACGAATAAAACTAGACCACAGCAGTGCATCCACCCGGCCGGTACCCACCAACCCCAACGGCGCCAGCTTGGAGGATCTGGGAGGCACCTTTTCAACTCAAAGAAAACCACAGAAATCCGTCGAAAGCTCTGCTCGATGGTGCGTCACTGATGCGATTCTCGGGTTGGCTGCGTGCTAGATCACTTGAACACGCAAGCCGAGCCGAGTCTTTCTTTGGAATCAAAAGGATTCATATGCTACTCGTTCGATTGTTGGAAGGCTTCGGTGTGTCGTGTGTTGCTGTTGCCGTTCCAGTTGAAGTTGCGCTGCTCCTGTTCCACTTAGTGTCGTTGTCGTTGGCATGGGTGTTGGTGTTGTTGTTCGTGCTGTCGTTGTGGTTGTGGCTGTGTTGTTGTTGTTGTTGCTGCTGCTGCTGTTGCTTCAATCTTGTCGTGCGGGCGAAGGCCTAGGAACTAAAGCCTCGCGGCGCGTCAGGGGTTCCGTCTGTGCAACTTTCGGGGCGATGCCTTCGGTTGCTTTCTCGTGGCAGTATTTGCTGGTCGTTTGCGTTCTTGGCTCTCTTCATCAGACCAGTTCATGGACGTTGAAGGTCTGAAACGCGCGACGGGGTGGGCCCCCAGTTCGGTGGCAGGGCCGTCACCAAAATTCCGGCTGGATTCGGATGGAGTGTACCGTGAGTGCCACTGACTCAAAGCAGTTCGGAAGCGACCGTGCAGGTCGCTGTGGAATCGACCTCTGTTTTGCGCAACCTTTGTTATTTGCCAGACCGACAGGTTCCGTGGTGCTGGAAGCAGAAGAGCAACGAAGCCACCAGTTCCCCTCCATCGACCCGATTTGGTTTGATTTAGCCACCCGGGCAACACCCAGGAATGGTGCCCATACGCCCTGGGCGCCAGGCACAGGGAGGTTTAGGTGCATGTCGTTTAGACGAGGCTTGCGAAGCCACGTGCACAGGCAAGCACCCGGGTACACTTTCGAGCATCCAAAAACTGTCTGGATGAGTCATCCGGCATGCTTCATCAGGCTGCTTGTTGCCTGCCCTGCCACGCTGCTTGCAATTCTTCCGGATCCCTGCCTGGAACATTGTATAGGTCGCACGATAGGAGGTGCCTGAGTTGGCATCGCGAGCTGTACTGTGTTGCATCCACAGCGACTGCGCGTCGGTCAGCAATGGCGCTGAGGCACCGTAGTGCTGCCAGATCCATTTTCGGATCTCTATGTCTTGGCCTTTGTGATAGCACAGGAGTGGACAAAGCAGAAGACACGAGGACAATTTCGCACCTCCGTCGTTGATGAACTCCATCACGAAGTTTCCGATTAAAAGCCCACCCAGCACCATGTAGATGGTTAGAAACAGCATGGACCAAAACCTGACAGGAACTCCGGATAACTCCGCTGGCAGTGACAGGCTACAAGACAGACTGGACAGGTCCCATCCATCCCACAGTCCCTATGCTGCAGGGGCACAAGGAGGGGACAAAAGCACTGACCGCAGCCACCAATACGCGCAAACCGGAAAAGAGGCGCATCGTGCCTGGGAGTTTGGACATGTCTGGGTTAGAAGGTCTGTCGACTGCACTTTCAGCCCTTGCTAAGAGCGGTGCGCATGACACGGAGAGAGCGGGTGAGCTTTAGTATTCGCAGAATCCGCAGAAGCACCAGGTTGACTCGCCCTGAGATAGCAACATATTGACACATCAAGGTATGGAAGAACTTCGTTGCATGCTGAGTAGCCGGAACCAGCCATAGGCTTGATGATCAACATGTCGACCAGGCTCAGGGCCTGGAGCATCACAAATCAGCACGAGCAGGCTATGGTGTCGTTGGGGTGACGGAATCTGCTGCCAGAAAGCATCTTCCCAGTCCATGCTCTCTCTGCACCCACCACGAACAAGGAAGCAAGCAATCGCTTAGTTCTTCTGCTTTTGCTTGTTCTTTGTCACTCGCTATGTTACACAGCATCAAAACCTCGATTTACAGGGGCTCCCGACAACCAGAAAAGCATCGAACACATTGAAGAAGTTGCGAAAGAATTGTAGTCGGTGGATCCAAAGCCGGACCTGACGCGCTGACGGTGGACGGCACGCATACTTAATCAACTGGTCGCGTTCTCCCTCGTCGTCATGGTCCGATTCAAGCGCTGCCGCAACAGCTCGGATGCAGCAGGGCTGCACAAAGCTCCAGCAGGAATAACACAGCAAAAGCCTCGCACCAGCTCGCAGCTTGAGAATGTCCAAACCAAGCGGTTCCGAGAACTCTGAATCGATTCGTGCAGCCGCTGCAATACCGACATTGTCAACCACAGCAGATTCAACAGACGTGGAGTGGGTAGGGTACTGGTCAAGCCTCCTCAATGGTGATGAAGACGTCCTGGGGTCAAAATTTGCTGAGCATATCATGATTCACTCATCCGGCCTATGCTATGCTTTGAATCATCGTGGCAAGTTCAAGAGCAGACCACGCATAGAGTAACGATTGCACTGCTACTGGACTTGTTTTCTTGTTCTGCTTCAACTGCATGAGCTGAACGGTTCGGATTGATCGGTGTTCAACGCAGTCGGAGAATGTGAGGCAGACTTACATCTGGATCTCAGTTCTTTGGCATCGACACAGAACACCTCGATTGGTTTTGGCATTCTCGACGATCGCTGCGGTTGTAATGCAGGGAGCGGTGGCCGCAAAGCCGACGGCCCCTCGCTGGATGAGGTCATTGCCCACATATCAGTTGACGAGTTGCTGTGAATCGCACTGTAGGCTTGACTGGATATGGCCTGCTGATCCTTTTCTTGATTCAAGCTTGTTGATCTGCTTGAAGTTTTCAGCTGATTGTGCTTCCAACTTTGGTCTGTTTGTTTCCCCCTCAAAAACAGATGCACGCGCATGACTCACATGTGCGGCTGCATTCAGCCCAACTGAGATTTTCTTGATTGCTGACATCGTTGACTTGCGCTCTTGACTAATGTGCAATGAGGCAACTGAGCGATGACACCAGTGACTAGCAGCAGTCGCAGCAGCGGCCTTGAAGAGCGCTGAACTATGGTTTCGATAGCCACAAGCCGAACACAGTGCAGGGCGAGGCAGGGCAAGGCTGTCAAGTGACGGAATGCAACCCTGACAGCGCGGTTTTCTGTAGCACTTAACCCCACGGACAAAAGCTGAGCACCCGACCGCCGACAACACATTTACTAAATTATAGTGAGACCAAGAACAGCCAGTGTGAAAACGTTTAGTGACTGAGCCCGCGTCTTGACGCTAACGAAACTACCAAGAGCGATTACCGCGGGAGGCCGAAGCCTGGGTGGGTTACCCGAAAGAAGGTAATCTCAATTGTGCTTGCGTTTTGACGTGCATCGAATGGTTTGTGCCAAACGTTAAACAAGGCCTCGCCTAGCAACACAACCGTGAATGATCATGGCTTCCCCGATCCAGTCGGCTCTGCGTCTTCCTGAACGAGAACGACCATACCATGGGGGCGGGGGGTTGGCAACGCCAGACGCCTGACCATATATATATATATATATATACATACATATACATATACATATATATACACATATATATACATATATATATATATATATATACATATATACACATTTATGCTACCCCACCCCCCTTCCAAGCCCACGGAATCCCTGATTTAAATATTATGGTCCAAAACATGGGCATTTATTCCGTTATCTCTTCCTGTCACAAGCCAAAGTCTCGTTTCCACGTCACAGCTTGATGAAGGCACGAATTGCTGCTTTTGGTTCTTCCCTGCGTTTGAGTCTACTCTGCTCCAATATTGTTATGATTCATGCACTGCTAGTATATCTATTGTCCTGTACTTTGCTAACACTGGTCAATATACTATATAAGATTGAAATATGGAGGAGTGCCGCACGACCTCTGAATTCATGTGTGTCGCCGCTTTTCGAATCTACAGTAGGACAAGTTCTGTCTGTGCAACATCAGCCAGCTACGTTCGTAGACGCTGTTCTAAGAAAATATTCGTGTTGCTCTGAAAGCAGCTCACCTTCGCTCGTGACCTTATATGCGAGGCCTACGAATATTAATGACAACTATATAAATTCAAACACTAAGATTTCTATTCCTACTTTCAAAAGTGTTCATATTCATATCATGTTAATCAGAATACTAATATTAAAGATGATCCTAAAACTAATCTTGACAAGCATCTCGGCTCGCTACACCACGCCCGGGGGTGGTTTTCGTTGTGCTTTCCCCTCATTGGCCTATTGGTCTATCTCTCCCCTTCACTCCCCCCTCTGACTTCAGGGAATAAAGGGTCCTACTATGCTATGGATATTGCTATGTGCCCTCCTCACGGGAGCAACAAGATTCCCAAGCACGCCAGCTGGTGGAAGTGGGAGACCTCGATGGAATTCCATCTTCGACAATTGTCGATGGAATTCCTCTTCCTGGCCATGCGCTCCTTGCCCTTTAGCTCCAGGATCAGTCTGCAGCTTTTATACAGCAGCTCATGGCTACAAACCTCGGCCTTTTGCATCTGGCAAGAAACCTGGACGTGGTTGTCTCCCTCTCAAAGGGTGGAGTTCCTGGGTCACACTTACCGGGTGGATGCTCTATTTGCTGCGAGTGCCCTGGATGCTGCGTATGCTACCAGACTGTGTCGAGCTGCGGATCTTGAAGCCCTGGATTGACCCTCTTCCGCTCCGGAGACAAGGCCGTGCTCACAACCCTGGTAGATACTTTCAGTGGCTGTCTGCATGCACCCGACATAGATCTGTCTGTGGAAAAGGCTCTCTCAGGATCGGCACAGGACTGCTCTTCTGCTCTATGATGCTGGGTGCTGGAGTGCCCATGGCCACGGACCCAGCATACCTGCCTTCCGATCGGTGCACTCTACAAGCCTGTTCGTGCCTCGCTGCTTTCTCTTCGCCTAGACATGCCTCTCTTGCAAGCCAAAGCCTGATGCAAGTGATAGACAGCTTGGGCCAACCGACTCGGCACACAAACCCCTACCCCTGCATGAAACGATGGACCCTGGTGCTCAGGCAGCAGAGTCAGACGTCGTGGTGCGACCCTCAAGAACTGGTCTGTGTCAGCCCACCAACAGAGCCTCAGTATCTCTGCGCTGTGGGGTCCAGCTGTCCTAGTCGCTGTATTCTCTGGACCGACATGTCTCTAGTCGACAGCCGTATTGGAGGTTCCCCTCCGAAGAGCTACAGCACGCGGCTAGGAGGTCCCCCTCCGGCCCCTCTCCTCAGCCCCTGCCGGCGTGAGGTTCCCACGCTTCTGCTCCGTCGTCGCAGCTTCTACCTGGAACTGCTGAGCCATATGCCAGTGGCAGGACCGCCCCATGCCCGTAGATTCAGAACGGTAGGGTCTCTGAGCTCCGAAGCTGCCACTGTCAAGCTGGTCCTTGCTGCCCCAGCCAGTTCCCAGTGTAATAACCTCCTGCCCGCGACCTGTTCTCTCAAGCTATGTGGTGGAGCTAGATTTGCCCCGGAGCGGGCATTAGGCATGGATCCACCAGGAGAACCCCCCGAGGACCCCTCCTCCTATCGGGGGAGGCGTGTGAAAACACAGCGGGACTATGAAAGAGAGGCCCGAAGGCCTGACAAGCAGACACGTCGCAGGCTGAAGGAACTCAGGGCGGCTCAACAAGAGGCTACTGGACAGCCTCCGCCACTCACGGTCTTCTCGCGGCGCAGGCAGCAGCAGCAGCAGCCCAGACAAGTTCGTCAGCCACCAGCTCCTCCTGCTCCGCGACGTGTCCCAAATCCTTCCACTCCTCCGCGGACGCCTCCGGAGGTGCGTGCTCCAAGCACGCTGCTACCTGCTGAAGCCAGCACTTGGCCAACAGAAGGCTCAGGAGATGCCGATGACCAGATGGTGGAAGTGGAGGTAGAAGTTGAGGAGCCAGCATCTGTGACTGCAGAGGAGACGATAGAGATAGAGATTCCCTCGCCCAGGACACCCCCAGCTGTCACAGGTGATATTCAGGCGACATCCGGGACTCCAAGCTCCGCGCCCCCACGACTGGCACCCAAACCTAAGACCATGCCAGCTCTAGGCATGAGGGCTGGCACACAGGCTACCTTGGATGTGAAGCAGGAAAAGCACTCGAACGATGTACCACTCTTGGCTCAGCCGGTTCTACCCAATGAAGAGGACCTTCAGCCCCGGATCGCGAAAGGCTCAGTTGGTCGGTTTGTGCTCAACAAGCTCCACAGGAGAACCTCGACGACCTCAGCCTCAGTCCTCAAGTCCACCAAGCTACGACTGTCGCCAGGTCAGGCCGGGGCAATCATCCGCAAGTCCACGGCAGTGAAGAGCAAAAGCAGGCCCTCCGCGAGACCCCAACAGGCTGAGGATGAACAAATCGCCTCCTCTGGGGAAGAGCGAGGATCTTCCTCAGGTACTGCTGCGAACCCTACAGGTGAAGATCACACAGGTCGAGAGATGCCCGGCAATCAGTTGGATGAGCAGGTCGAACAGCAAGCCGAGGCAACGCAGCATGCCCATACCACCATGGAACTGGTGCTTCCGATGCCACAACCTGGAGGCTCGGGTGTGGTGTTCACAGCCGTGGGCAACATTCGATCACAGCCAACGGGCACCTCGACAGGGGCAAGGCACTGGGTTTTAGACAGAGGAGGCGGCACGACAGCCGCTCCCATCCTGCATATGCCAGAATGGGTCCGAACTGCTCTACAGAACCCACCGGAGGACCCGGCGCCACCTCCACCGAGGACTTTACGACCGCAGGGCTCGCCGAAGTCAATCTCCGGACCACAACGACGCACAAAGCGTCGCCGAACCGCAAGCAGGCAGCACAACACTGCCACTGCCTCCGCTGAAAGGGCGGAGGATACAGGTGCGACCTCGCCGACTGATGAGACTGCTCCGACTGATGCTGCATACATAGCGTGCTGTGATAGCCCATCTGCCTTTGAGACCACTGCTGCTTGCAAGCTAGAGTGGGACTACATTAGGGTTCCAGAGCAAGCTGCACTGATGTTTGCCCCCTTCTCTTGCTCCCTGCCCCTGTTACCTCCTGACACCTCTTTTCCTGTGCACAGGACACCACAAGACAGGCGGCGGTGGGGATGCCCAGACATGCTCGGAACCTTTTCCGCTCTGCACCTGCACGGACGAGCCTTTGCACGACCACCTTCCAATATGCCTAGAGTTCCTCCATGTGCAACAGCTGCTGTTCCGGTTCTGATCAGTCAATACCAACATCCTCTTTTGCAAATCCTCAGGCTCCCCACCCGCAGCATGTACCCTCTGAGGCGTGATCCTGGCGAAATATCGCCAAGTTCCCCTTCCACCACAGCAGGCACAACATGCCTTTGCTTCTTCGGTCCAACCCCTAGACGGTGTACTGACTGGTATTGTTCCTCCTCCCAGCAGGAGGTTTCCACGCCAGGCACAGATCGGATCCAAGGTCTTAGTAGTAGCAGCTGCCGTGCCACGCCTCCGGTTCTTCTTAGGCACCTAAGCCCTCCCAACCATGAACAGCCGCAAGTGCTTGTTGTCAGGCGTCTGGGAATGCTCGTGTGGCGGAGAGGCCCGGCTACTCTCCCTTGCAGGGCACGGCATGAAACCGACAGCATGCCAGTGAGGGATTTTGCTCGGGGAGTAGCAGTGCTGCTGCCTTCGCATCGAAAGCCTGGCCCAGCCGAGCCCCACAACCAGCGTCAGATAAGACAACTGGAGGTTTACCCCTTCCTCCGACCCTGGCCCCGCTGGTTGCCTGTCATCGTTCAAGCTCTCTTTAGAGGATTGTCTGCATCTCTCCCCTCTAGCTGTCCTTCTGACCAAACTGCAATACTGGGACTGCTGAGGTTTAACCTGGACAAGTACTGGAAGTGCTACGAGATGATTACGCCCAGGACTGCTGCGCTCTTGCAGGGACCGGCCATGGCGCACAGCCTGCACAGCCTCTCGATTCCTCTCCTTGGATGCACGAACTCTTGGTTCAAGACCACCCCTCTGCTCTCCTTTGTGAAAGCAGCCATGAGTGTGGCCTTTGATGACTCTGATCTCCTTGGATCGGAAGCAGACTCGGACCTGGGATCCCTACAGCCGTGGCTGGAGGGCGAATTCAGACCCCTCCGACGGTCCTCCCTCTAGGGGTGAAGTCAGACTACCACCAGCTGCTCTCACTGCGACTGATCAGATGGCGACCAGGGTGCCAGGCACGCCTATCGGAGCATTACTTCAACGAGTTCCACGACCGCGGGCAGACTCAGATGCCTCAATGGCCCCGCCACTGCACAATCCTGTGATGATCGGCAATGGCACCCCGCTAGAAGCTTTTAGGCCCCCAGGCTCTCTTCTCCCACGGCAGCCATCGGCACGGTCGAGAGACAGTAGGCGCAACAGGACGCCCACCATGTCAAGGCCGAGTCAAGCTCCGCACCTGAGGATGGCAGAACCTGGCTCCAGTTCGGATGCCCTTCCGATGCAGTCCACCACCAGCAAGGCTTCAGGGGTGGAGGATGAGCCACCTCTGGCTCACTCCATGGAGATGCCCGAGGCCGCCTCAGATCCATCCAGTGCAGCCGCAGTACCTTCAGGATCAACCGAACTCCTCTGGGAGGACTGCTTGGATCTGGACTTGATGCCTCCGCCGGGAGTGGAGCCTGCCAGCTCTTCGGCAGATGGCTCGGGACTAGTGCCTTGGCCGGGTATCCGAAAGCGACGGCGGGCATGTGCCAAAATGCTCGTCCGATCGGGCCTTCGATGCTCGATCTGTTTTGCCATCAAAGTGCCAGCAGTGCAAACCAGTGCTGATCGCTGTCGCTGTAAAAAGAGGGCCTTACCTAGTGCTGGCAAACTCTCAGATCCAACTCTCCAGCCTCTCCGGTCTCTGAGTTTGGCTGCTTGTGCACCTAATGTGCTCTCACAGGACAGCATCGAGGCTGCTCGCAGGGCCAGGCTGGACACCAGTTTGCTGTACACAATCTTTGGATTCAGAGTTGTGAAAAACCCCGGGAGAGCAATGTACTTTGGGAGCCATACATGTAACTCCACACTCCCCTCCTTTACCACGGAGGTTAGCCCTCCGAGACATACAAGGGGCTGCCGATCGCACTCCTTAGTGTCCTGTCTCCTGCCATGCCCCTCCTGGCAGAGTTTCTCGAGCGTCACATTGACTCCGGCCTGCCCCGATGCAGGAACACAACAGTGGGGAACTCGCTTTCATCGCCGACGGCTGGCGCCGGTCCGAGATCCAAGTAGGCGTATCCGGTGGACTAAAGCCTGCCTGAGTGTTGCTGCTGTTCTGCAATGTCTGGGACCCCATCTTCAGCAGATCACCCCCACCTGGGCTAATCAGTCACAGCCAGCACAGCAGAGCCTATCCCCATCAGCATCCTATGGCAGTCCTATGGTAATATCTATCATGTCCCAAACATACAGACCCCAGGTCGAAGCCCCCGTCCGAGCACAGTTTTTCCAACGAGCCGTCCGGGTCCCAAGTCCCGGAGCAGGTGCCTGAAGCTGACTCTGTTTTTGCAAAGCATCATTGCGTCCTTCAGTGCCCCTGTAGATGCGAGGGTAGAGGGCATAGTCACGAAACCCTCGGGAGCTGGTCCCCCCAGCTACAGGCAGCCTCCGACACTAACAGCGAAGCCTCGTGCATCAGACACTACTCGGAACGCGCGTGCCTCCATCCATATCACTGATTATGAGCAGCTGACTCGGGTAGGCAAGAGATCCTACCACCGTGCCATTAGGCGGGCAGCACGAGATGGTACAACCATGTACAGAGGCAGACTTCACACTGTGTCCTCCCTAGGAGCTACACAAACCACCTCCACTTCACCACCACCGGATCCTTACAAGTTACCGACACCTCCCACCCGTTCTCATCGCAATCCCCACCCTCCGACCAGTCGCTGGAGGATAGTCTCATGGAACTCAGGAGGTTTGTCCTCCTCCCGATATCAGGAAATAGAAACATGGCTTCACACTTGTGATCAACGAGGCCATCGGATCCACGTATGCATCCTCTTGGAGACACATTGGGAGTTCCAAGCTGAGTGGGCCACAGCAGAGTATTATGCGCTGCATACAGGCCTGAACCGGAGACAGGCGGGGATATTGGTTCTAGTCCACAAGACACTGGTCAGCAGTCAAGCTATTCGATCAGCCCCCATCATCCCAGGACGATTACTCCAGGTACGACTGGACACTGAACCCGCGATAACCCTACTCGCTGCGTACCAAACAGTCTGGAACGATGGTCCTGGAAAGGATGACACTTTGGCCCAACGTGAAATCTTATGGACTAAACTAGACTCAGCGATTAAGGGGGTTCCGGTCAGATCACAATTGCTGATAGCAGGAGACCTGAACACCCCCTGTGTATCCCAGGCCCCTCACGTGGGTCCAGGTGTGCAGGCTGACCCTTCTAAGGTCAAGCAAACCGATCAACATCGGCTCCAGAACCTGCTTGGCATGCATAACCTGGTAGCATTGAACACATGGGGCAGAAAGAAACATTGCTACACATACCGATTTGATTCCAAAACCACCATGCACCATACACAGATCGACTATCTGTTCTTCCGGCTGTGCCACGCTGATGCTGCCGCCAAATCAGCTCGTACCATCACCGCGCCCTTTGTACCTCAAACTGGCATGCGTCACCTCCCCCTCTTTGCCTCTCTTCCTCAGCCGAAATCCCCTCGCACCAAGGCGCGATCACAGCAAGCCTGCCCAACGGCCCGTCAGGTTGCCACTGCCCTCAGTACTGATGCCTCACTCGCGGATCGATTTCGAGCTAGAGCAAGTGCGCTTTTCTGCCTCAAACCCACTGCTGACCCAGCTCACTGCCTGAACACTGCCTTTCTTCAGGCCTGGCAAGAAGTTGGCCCGAGCCGACCTTCTCCAGTTGTTACTCAGGAGCATGCAGCAGGAGGCCTGGTGCGGAGGCTCTGGGCCCTGAAAGCAGACCTCAAACAACAAACTGACACCGGCTCAATCTTGGGAAGATGGCTGCTAGTTGCCAGAATTTCTCGAACACAACGACTCCTCAAGAAAGCTTGTCGAGATAAGAAACGGGAGAGGGTCGAAACCCTACTGGCTGAGGCCGAATCCTCGCCCCACCCTTCTTCCATCTTTGGGGTCGTCCGTAGACTAGCGCCAAAGTCCCGGACAATGCGAATCCAACTCAGGGACCAAACAGGCCGTCTCCTATCAGGATCTGAAGAGGCTGAGCATATCGCCCAGTTCCTTAGGAAGGTTTTTCACAGTGAGCATAAGCTAGCACCTCCCCTCTCTGTGCCAATCACGGGTATGCACTTCACACAGGAGGAGCTGTGTGCTGCCCTGGATCGCATGGCCAGCGGAAAGGCACTTCCGGCAACTTTTGCACCGGCACGTCTATGGAAGTTGCTTCCAGACCTTGTCGTCCCATCACTCTTGCCCTGTATGAACCTGGAGTCTTCGGCACTGCAGGAGAACTGGCACAAAGTTCAACTCTTTCTGATCCCTAAGGTTGCAGTAGTCCGTGAGCCCAAAAACCTTCGCCCCATAGCTTTGCTGCATCCTGCAAGCAAACTCCTGGCAGCCATGATCGCAACCAGAGTGCAACCCAAAATTGCTGCCTACCTGACTCATGTGCCTCAATGGGCCTATCTGCCGGGAAGATCTACGGCAGATGCTCTAGAATCGGTATGTTCCCACCTGCATCAAGTCCGGAGCATGCTGCAGGCGAATGCTTGCAATTTGCCCCAGCGCTTCCACGGCGCTGTGCCTCACAAGATGATGGGAGGCATCTCCATCAGTTTGGATGTTAAGAAAGCTTTTGACAGTCTGTCTCATGACTTCTTAGAGGCCGCTATGCGAGAGGCAGATTTCGACGAGTGTGAAATAGCTCTCATTCTCCACTTGCATACCCACGCTCAACTTCAGGTGGGCACTGGTGCGGAAACAGCCTCTGTCCTCTTAGGCACGGGGGTGAGACAGGGGTGCTCGCTTTCGCCCATCTTATGGGCCCTGGCCACTGGCAGAGTCTATCGACTGTATACTGCAGCCCTCAAGGAACAGAGGCTCCCGGAAGGACTCACCAACATATTTGCGGACGACTTCTTCAGTAGCTGGACCTACAAAAGCCCGGAAAACTTTCGCCAAGCGCTACGTGCCATAGGAATTTTGGTGAGCACACTTCAGCAAGTTGGTTTGGAGCTTAGTCTTGACAAGACTGTGCTGCTAATGGCATCGTCGGGTACGAGTGCCCCCTCCGTCATCGGAGGTTACAAGAAACTGGTAGAAGGGGTGCCATATCTCCGAGTTCCAGTCGGTAGTGCTCGAGTCCTCCTCAAGATTGTCAACTCCCACAAATACCTTGGCGCTCACCTCTCTTATCAAGGTTTCGAGGCCCAGAATCTGAAGCATCGCATGGCCACAGCCTGGGGAAGTTTCTGGAGACTACACTCCATCCTGATTAGCCGCTCACTCCCCCTGAAAACCAAACTTCGCCTATGGCAAGCCTGCGTCTTTAGTGTTCTGCGCTACTCCCTCCATCATGTAGGAGTCCCGAGTAATGGCCCCCTACTCATTCGTCAGGCTGTTCACAGGCAACTGAGAATGATTGCGCGCTCTCCTGCTCACTTATGGCATGTCACTTCCAGTGACATCCTGGCCAGGCTCAAAGTGGAGGATCCGTGGATCACCCTCTGCAATCAGGCCCCAGCACACCATGCGACTTTGCAGCCTCATGCACAAGCAACCAGCTTTAATGATTGGCAGAGCAAGCTTCGAAACATGTTCTCTGGTGTTCTCCTCTCGACAGATCCGGACATGCTGCACCTAACCCAACATCCTCCACAGGACCACACTGGGATGAGTCCTCCTGCTCCGGCTTTTGAGAGTTGCGCCAGTGAGAGACGGGCTCATGCTTTTCGGATGCTGGAGTGCCCTCACTGCATGCAACAATTCACCTCCTTAGGTGCCCTGAGAGTACATGAAGCTTCTAAGCATCCGCCTCCTAGCCTGCCACTGCCCGCGGCCTCTCCTACTGAGATGGAAGATCATACTCCGCACCAAACCTCCCCCAACACTCCACTGCCCCCCCAAGGCCCACAACCTCAACAGCTTAAGAAGGCACACACGCGAAGAAGAGTGCAATCTCATCAGCATGACGACAGCATGCATGGTGATCTCCCCATCTGTCTGAAACATGCAGACCCACAAACCAAGTTTGCATGGCTTCATGCACGTGATGGTCTCTGCATCTGCCGACACTGCGCGAGAGTCTGTGCCAGGTGGGATGAGCTCAAGATACACATCTTTACCAGATCCTGCCCGATACTCTTCCCGTCAGCCCAGGATTGCACCTTAAGTACTGCCCCTCCCAATCAGCTCAGCCCGTATTGGCAGCCTCAAATACGACAGATCTTGGCTACACACTGGGAAAAATTCTACGCTGCTCTAAAAGTAGACCAGCCAAAGGGTTACCAGTACTGCCCAATCTGTGGTCAATGGCTGATTCAAGCTCGAGGCATCACCTTACATGTGCAGGCCTGTCATCCTTGGGCTAGTGCTGCCTTGTCGCTTGCTAGAGCTCACAGCAAATGCTATCGCAGAGGGCTGGCTCTCAGTTCACCCTGCAGATATTGTGGCCTCTCCTTCAAGGGTGACCAGGCCAAGCATGCATCAGAGTGTGCCATGATCATCTGGACCAAATTCCTCTTTTCCCTCTTACACCCTCATGCTCTGCAGGATCCCCGCCGCATTCATGGAGCTCAAGGGTGTCAGCCAGGACGAACTTCAGGAGGCGGCGGCGGCCCTCACGATGCTTCAGACCATGGTTCTTCAAGGTCGCAACCTCTTCGAAGCACCACAGTCCCAGCCAGCGGGACCAGCTCAGAACCCGGCCAGTTCCCTCCACCCTCCGGCTCTGGAGGTTCAGGTTCAGACCCCACTGCGACAGACCTTCTCCCTCACCGGAGAACAGGAGGCGGAGCAGCCAGCCAAGTTCACGAGGACGAACGAGAAAGGCCAGGGGGGAAAGGGTCCCCGACAGGGACCTCAGACCCGCCGACAATTCCCTTCCAGAACTCCACCGGCCGGCCCACAGCCCTCATCGGCTCCCAGCGGAGGTTCACCCTCCAAGATTACGGTTTCCGCCTCGCTGATCACCCAGGTCGTGCAGCTCCTGCTACGACATGCGGATGCTCTCAACAGCATCGAACAATCCACAACATGGATTCTGTTTCAGGGCACGGCGCCCCCGCTAACGGTGGTGGATGCACAGGCCACCATAGCGGAAGAATGGAATCGGCTGAAAACCAGCAACCCCTCAGCCATCACCGAGCCTCTCAGGGTGGTGCTATGGCAAACGTGGGCATCCGAGTTCATCAAGCGCCTGCAGACTCTGGATACCGACCCGAACCAAAGGAACGAGGCCATTCGGCTTCAGATCCTCACGGAGCCGGACTGCTTCAAGTATGTGCGATGGGACCCAAGCCAGAAGCGCCTCATCCCCCAGGACACCCTTGCTCCACTGACGGCGAAGGAAATCTTGGACATGCTTCGAGAAACGATCGTGTTGTGCAAAGAGGATGGCGTTCTCATCAACTATCATCCGATGAGGCGGTTGACACAGAAGATGGCAGGAGCAGCCATCACCTTCTCCATGCACTTGGGGCTCAGAGAGGCCAGAGCCTATCGCTTTTGGACAATAATGGAAGCCCTGGCAGGAAACGCCTCGCTTCAATTAGTGGCGACAACCATCCGCAGAGATCGGCGAGGACGATCTCCCTTAGCCCAGGCCTTGGAAGCCGAACTTCGACGGCTGCAGAAACCTTGCGGCAAATCAGACAGTTGAAACTCCGTAATCCCTCCAATGACTGCTATGCCAATTGTGTCCTTCTTTCCACCATGTGGCTGGCAGTGCAACACAAAGGACTCGCTGAGCTCTCCGTCTTAGCTGCCGTGCAGGAGGAACTCCAACAACTGATCATGTATGCCACTCCTGCCTCTAATCCGGTATATGTGTGGTCACGGCCGCTTTGGCGCAGGAAACTACGACACTGGCCTCACACCGGCCGCCAGCAAGATGCGGCTGAGTTTCTCAGCCACTTCAATGAGGCTTGCCGCATCAGTTCACTTCAAGGTACATGGGCTATTCTAGATCAAAATGCACTGGTAGACTGTGGTCATGTTGGTCCACTTTGTCTTAACTGTGACCTCGAAGCCCTCCCCCGCATCCAGGGTTCCCGCTCCTTGCAAAGTGCAATCACTGCCTGGCACCAGCTCCCTGGTCACCCTGCTCTTGCATCAGGTTCTGAGGGCGTTGCTCTACAGCTGAACAGGTTTCGCCTTGTAGGTGGCAGAGTCTTCAAGACACGAGTTCCGATTACCATACCGTCAGCCGTTACCCTCCCCATATGGGTGGAAGGTTCAGTGCAACACACTCGTTTCCTCCTGACAGCAGTGATTATCCACTTAGGAAAGACCCCAAAGGAAGGTCATTACCAGACTCTGCTCCTTGACACGGCTGGCAAAGCCTGGATCACGGACGACAATGTTGCTGCTAGGCCCCCTGATCACTCATTAGTGAGGGTTGTGCAAGAGAATGCCTACATTGTTTTCTTACGTCCTGATCCTCAGCTTGCTTATGTGTCCTCACAGTAGTTTTGACAAGTACCATGGCAGTCTGCTCAATCAGTGAAGCCTGGTGCTGTATTAGGCCCTTAGGGGCGACTAGGCTTTTGTTGGATGGATGGCGAAATCGCCATGAAGCAAAGCTTCCGCACCAAGTGCGCCACTACGCTTAGCGGACGAACTCATCCTGCTGCGATCGTGAGTGAGTGAGTGAACTAATCTTGACATTGATATTAACTTGAATACCAATGCTCTTACCGGGACTAATACACATGGCAGTACTAATGGTTATACATAATATATATATATATATGTATACTTAGCTAAATTCAATAGGCCTCTGTTGGGAGCACTTGAAAAGCCTGTGCGGTGAGGGGTTCCGCCAGTGTGCGTGCGGTGTGCGCGGTGTGTGCGTGCGGTGTGCGCGGTGTGTGCGTGCGGTGTGCGCGGTGTGTGCGTACAGTGCGCGCGGTGTGTGCGTACAGTGCGCGCGGTGTGTGCGTACAGTGCGCGCGGCGTGTGCGTACAGTGCGCGCGGTGTGTGCGTACAGTGCGCGCGGCGTGTGCGTACAGTGCGCGCGGCGTGTACGTACAGTGCGCGCGGTGTGTGCGTACAGTGCGCGCGGTGTGTGCGTACAGTGCGCGCGGCGTGTGCGTACAGTGCGCGCGGTGTGTGCGTCCAGTGCGCGTGGTGTGTGCACACAGTGCGGGCGGCGGGTGCGTACAGTTGTCCAGTTGTCCGCCGTGCGTGTACGTGCGGTGCGCGTGGCTTGTACGGATGAAGCCCGGGTCCCTGCCCTGTGTCGTTTTGCATGCAGTCTGCTCACCGCGCGAACTATAGTATCTATATAATGTACAGTGCGCAAAGTGCACGTGACATTGCCTGCGGTGCACGCCTGCAGTGGGGGCGTATATACAGAGTGCGCTCTGTTCTTGTGCACACTGCACGCAACGACATGAGAAGGATACCTAGTATGGAAAACAAGGGTGTTTCGTGAAAACGAACCATGCAATTTAGTCATGACGGTGATGTTCGTGATATGTGCTGTGATGTTGATGCCTGAACACTCATGGAGAGACGAATCTCTCAAACACATTGAATTTAGAATCTGTGTCATGGAAACACTCATACGCATTAGATCTAAAGTAAAGAGTCTTGCGCCTAAATCGTTACAGGACACAAAAGGGCACCCCTCTTCTTATAAACTCTAAATCAAATTGAAAGTGCTGGCAGTTGCAGACGCAAGTTTAGCCCATGTTTCGAGTTTGAGTGTACTGGAGAAATTAAAACAACAAAGATACTAAATTTAGAAGACAAAACGCAAATTTTGACATCGCTGAGAGGTTTGCCAGTGTTGAAAATATTTGAAAATGCACTTATTATACGGGCGCCCAAGACCGCATAGAATCACAGAACAAGGATGCGCATTTGAGAACAAAAAGACACCAAGTTTGGAAACGCCCGGCAAAATCAACAGGATCTGAACATGCGCGCAGCGGGCGCTCAGAATGCACGGAAATAAACAAACACTAATGCTGAAAAACAACACCGATTGTATAACACAACAAGCTTGTGAAAACTTTGGAAAGCAACACCGAGTCTTGGGATGTACGTAGTGGGCGCCCAGATTGCACGGAAAATGGACGCCAATTTTGAAACAAGGACACCATGTGAAACCGATACAACAATTGGAAAAACGTGCGTTGGGCGCACGGACTGTGCGGAAGACAGATATCAGCTTATACCAGTTTTCGGAGAAGGGGCGCCAAATTCCAAAATGCGCACAATCGGCACCCAGACTGCACGTTGAAAAGGGCACCGCCACCAATACTGAAAGATGGACACCAAACTTGAAAAAAGGACAACAACATTGAAACTTTGCGCATTCGGCGCCCAGACTGCGTAACGAAGACACCAATACTGAAAAAATCAACATTAGTTTGAGAAAAAACACGAATTTTGAATAACAGCACAGCAGGCTGTAAAGCATGCCACCCATCTTGACACAAAAAACACCAATCTGGAGAAGCAAAGCACCACATTTGCAAACACATGACACCAGCTTGTGGAAAAACACGACACCAATTTTCGGAAGAAAAACCGTTACCAATTTCAGAAAGATGAAACGTGACACCAAAAGGACACACTTCTCGAAAAATCGCACCAACTTTGCGAAGAAACAGACATCAGTCTTGGAAACAAAAACACAAAATACACTAGTCTCAAACACGGACAACACAAAATTGAAAAAAAAAAACAAACGACACCAATATTGAAAATATACACGGTTCGAAAACAACGACACCAACACAGAACAAATACACCGGTTTTGGAAAATGACACCATTTTAAAATAACAAGGTTGCACACAGTTTGGAAAAGACAAGACGACACAATTTTAGAAGGACACCAAGTAAACAATCAAACACGACTCCAAGTTTGAGAAAAGGAACCATTGGACTTTCAGACTGTGCGGAGAAAAGGACCTCGATTTTGAACGACAAGGGCACCAACCCTGGAAACAAATGCTTTTGTTTTGTAAAGAAGGACAGCGGAAGTTTAAACACAATTTGATAGAAAAACCAAAAAGCAAAGAACAACTACATTTGAGACGAAATGACAACCAATCTAAAACAACTGAGAAATATGAATGAGCACGAGAATTGAAAGAAGAGGAAACCAATATTGCAAAAAAAACAAGTTTACAAAACGGACACCATTTTTAATAGAATGACAAAAGTTGAAACAAGGATACCAAGTTTTGAAACAAGTCACAGCAATTTTCAAGAATCACACAGAGTTTGGAGATTGAGCTAAACTGTAAAACCCTGAGCGGTCACGCTTTTACTCTTGAACCAAAGGCGCTGCGTCGGTCACATAGTATGCAGCTATACAATACTATACCGTAGCCTGGGCTCACCAAAGGTGTGGGGCGTTCCTATGTACAGAATTCAACACCCTGCCTCGAAGTCCTTGTGCTGTACTTCGATCGGTCCGCGGTCGGGCATACCTCCGCCCGTGACTGCATCGGCTTAGCCATTGCAAGTCCTTGGGTTAAACACTCCGTGCAACCCACCTTTTGACCGTCCCCCAATTAAGGAGGTGTGTCAGACCGTCCTTGTCCTGACTCGTACAGTAACAAGTACTTCGTCCTAGTGAAACATTCCACACAAACTTCCTGCGTTAGCGCTCATCCTTCTTTTGCGCTTTTCGCTGCTGTGTGTTCCGAGGTGAAACTTTTTCAGTCTTGCCTACACTCACTTCTCTGCCTCATACTCGTACACGATGTAGGACTTACTGACTTCCGAACAACGTTCTCTGTTCCGTGCTGTCCGGTGTACCTGGATCCACATCCATTGGCATTTCCGTTCCTTGTCCGCGTTCTTCATACTGCCTACAGTAGTCTTCATACGATTCCTGTGCTTCTGGGGATAACATCATGTTCCCCATCTCTTCCACAGTGATCATCTTTCCGCGGTACTCAATCTTCTCCGGCGAGGGTTCCGTCTTCCCTTCCGGCTCTTCCTGAATCATTCCTGAAATGACTTTGCTTCCACGTTCGTGGTCTTCTTCACTGATTATCGGCATACGCGTTCCGTCCGTATGTACGATTGCTGGAGTCCCCATTGCTGCTTTTCCACGTCTCTTCAGGGATCCTTTTCCATTGCCACTCTTTTGTCCAGTATTCCATGCATGCTTTCCATCATCCGTTACACGGGTCTCTTCCTTTTCCGTGGCATCCCAAGATCCTTCTGTCGCAGTTCTGTCATAACTTTTCCTCCATTGTTCCATTGCATACGTCTTGATGCATTCTGTGCAAGAACATTTCTGGTGGTTTACCTTCTCCCTTGTACACTTCCGGATTCCGCACCAGTAGCACTTCTTTGTGCATCCGCCAGTTGACTCTACCCCGAAGTCAAGCTCCATCACTTCCCAGTCGCTTTCGTCTGGGTTTGGCGGCTCTACGCGTTCTCGGCGTCTTCTCAGACTTCCTTCTGGCTTCGTCTCCGGGAAACAAATCCAACATGCCCTAAAGCCTTCCAGCTCGGCTTCCTGCATGTCCTTCCAGACCCACCGGCCTGGCTTCTTGTGAGATCCCTGGACATGCCAGCATGTACCACGGTGGTACACACGTGCTCGGCTTCCCGTACTGATCTTCACGCGTCCAATACCTCGTAGGTTTTCCAAGACTCTCGTGAGCTTCGTACATACAGAAATAGC